CTTCTCAGGCATGAAGGTCTAGTCAGAGACATATTAGAGGCAGAAACAGGAGTTAGGAGCGGTAGAGGTAGACCTAGATTAGATTACTGTTCGCAAATAGTTAAGGATGTGGGCTGTTCTATATAGTTTTAAGGAAATGCGAAGATTAGCTCAGGATAGGAAAGAGTGGAGGTACGTGTCCAACCAGTCTTAGGACTGACGACCTTATGATGACTTTTAATAATCAGTTTTCTAGGCAAAATTGAAATGAAATGTTTAAAATACCTTCTGCATAAATTCCGTATTATTTTATCTACCCTTAGTGCTTTTCGGTTCTATTCATTTAAAAATAACAACTCAGTAAGCAGTCGTTTTCATAAAATGAGCTCGTTAATGTTTGTTTTGTCAGTTTTATGAACGTTACAGGGAGAAAATGAAATTATTAAAAAGAGGTTAATTGCTATTTTAATTAATGCCCTAAACAGTCATTACGAAAATTAGTATTAAAACTGTTATTTCGTAGTTATTACTTCCTTTCAATCTCGTTCTTACCTTTAATTATATTCCTGATGATTAAAACCTCTCATTTTGAATGTTTAAATTTTAGTAAGTAAACTACAGAACTCATTACTACTCCACCCACTTACCTCCTACAACGTTGAATTTCTACATTTGGGAAAACAATGTTCCAGCTTGTATTTTTTAATTAAAAGAAAATAAAGAGATGGCAATTGAAAATCCTATTATGTGATTTAAAAATTATTTTTGAAAAAAGTAAGAAGAAGTAACTAAAATTGTTTTGAATAACTAATCTGCGGCAAACCCTCAATTTTATATGTTAAGTGGAGGTTTCAAATGCTCAAACCCTAAATTAAATTTTATAGATTTTTAAATAAACTGAAATGTTCTTGAAAGTATCTGACAAATGATCTACGTTTTTGACCATATTCACCAAAAAGCGAAAGTAGATTTAGTTAATCTTTAGTTTTTGTACAAACTAAATCCTTAAAATTCAAGAAAAGTAGTTTATATAATACACATTTAAAGGTTTTTTTCTGTGAAGGTAACCGAACAAAGATACAGTTCTCAGAACAGCACAATCAATCACTTATATTCAACTGCCGACTGAAAAGGAAATAGGATATCGCCCTAGCTTCACTCGAATCAGTTTCTAGTAAAAACTGTCGGAATATTTCACAACTCAATACATTAACTCTGGGAAAACTCAAGATATATATATAGCAACATACTTTGATAGGTGAAATGAAAATAATAATCAAAATCAATATCAATTTACAAGTTAAGCGATTCTGCCTGAAAAGCCTGAGAACTGCTGCATATGGCTTCAAATAAATATTTTTTTTCTGTCTTAGCACTTCTTTGATTTAAATTATTAATAAAACATTATTGATTATTTCTTTTTTTTTTTTTGTTTTAGTGACCCTGTTAAGCTACGGTGGCTCGCATAAGTTTAAACACAATGGTAAGTTTAAGTAATAATTTATGGGATCAAAAATTGGTTGTTTAACACATGTAAATAATAATGCGGGTAATAAATGGGTATTACACATAAAATAAGTGACCTAAATAAGTTTATATGTAAGAGAAGCAACATTTGCTTTCTCACGGATGAACGGAAGAGAACTATAGAACATTTCTTCTGGCATGAAAGGAAAACTCAGTAGAATGAGTCAAGAATCAAAGTTACACTCGTACTATTACTCAAAAACGTCAATATTGATGATGAAATGAAACGAAAGTTTACAAAACCATAGTTACATTACATTAGTTAGACAGATTTGAGACCTTTGAGTACAGTTTGTAGTTGTTGCTGTTGTCATCTCTCGTAGATCAGTGGTCAGATCAGTGGTTTGTAAAACCAAAAGTTCCGGGTTCAATTCCCGGCAAAGGTATGACGAAAGCAACAAATTTAAAAATATTAAAAAGAATAGGAGAACAGAGGACTCTACGGAAGTCAATAAGAAATAGACGGGATAGGTTGGTAGGACACCTTCTCAGGCATGAAAGTCTAGTCAGAGGCGTATTAGAGGCAGAAAATGAAATTAGGAGGGGTAAAGGTTAGACATAATTAGATTAGTGTTCGCAAATAGTTACGGATATGGATTGAATAAAATAATTCGAAGTGGTCTGTATTCTGTCGAAACTGCCAGGCGCGGGTCGCGATTTCGATCTTTTTGGATCTCATCAGCGCGTCGCAGACAGCTCCGACAGAACACAGACCAACTTTTACCTGCTGTCTTAACAGCGCGTTTTAGTAGCATCGTACTACAGATGGCGTTTTCCGCGTCATTTGTGGTATTTTCTAAGGACACGGATTGTTCTAGTTTTAGGAAAATGCGAAATTTAGCTGAGGATAGGAAAGAGTGGAGGTGCGTATCCAACCAGTCTTAGGACTGACGACCTTATGATGCTGATATCAACATGAGGTAATTCATAGTTGATGTAAAGGGAAAATGCATTTTCACATTAATATTTGAAAAACCATAGTTATTAATCATCTAAATCGCTTGCCTTTATAGTATTTCACGCTTGCTTTGCAGTTTTTCGATAATCTTTAACCAAAAAGTGACCGTTTTATCTGCGCGCAACGAAGTGCGGCATAAACATACAGAAAAACTCACAGTAGAACGTTACTGTATATGATACATACAAATACGACGCTACGCTGCAGATATAGCAAAGTAAATTTTCCAATGCTCCTGGGCACCGTACAACTTTCCTTACAGTTGTGGATTCGCTCTTTGTTGTGTGTATGTATATGTGCGACCGAGTGAAGCCCCGAGGGAGTGATTTCTACGTAGTATGCGGATGCTTGACTGTTCATAAAGTCGGGTAACGTCCTCGGAGATGTGCTGAAAGGAGACCTTACTACATGATAGTATACAATAAGCGACACAACAATATATTTGATGGATAATAGTTGCGAAGATTCCGTTGGGAATGCAATTGTAAATTTTTTTAACCATTCGTCATTTTTACTTTTTGTCTACAAAGTGCTCTACATTAATAAGTATGTACCATTTTACTTTAATGGTGGTCAATGATTCGTCAAAACCGTCAGACATGGGTTGCGATGTCCATTTGTCTGCCTAAAATGCAAAAACTTGAGTGTTTCATTCTCACCTGTCACTAATCCTGGTTGGGGGCCAGCCCTCCGGACTACGCCTGAAGGTAGGGCGGAAGGCCCTCTTCAGCCTCCTTTCAGGAATCGTGGGGATGGGTGAGTAGTGGTTAGGGTTAGAAAAACGAGACGGACGAAATGAAGACAGAAGAGAATGAATGGAAGATTATCTGTGGAATATTACTGTCCCAGCATTTGTCTAAGTGATCCAAGGAAACCACAGAATAACTTGGACCAATGCAGACGGACCAGGAATCGAACCGGCGTCCTCCCGAATGCTAAGCAATGGTCTGAACCAGAGCAGAGCAAACTCGGTGCTAGGTGCTCCTCAGGTATAGCCAAGGAGCTCCTCATTGCTCCTGCGAGTACGAGTGAGATGATTCTTTTCTTTTCTTATTCCTTCCATTCCGTAAGCGAGTCGCCTCTTCCTTACCCGAACCCAATAGTATGGCGAACGGAGTCCGGTATGCAACCCCTGAGCTGCGGAACGATCATTAGAATATTTTCGTAGGTGTTATTTAAGTTGCGAGAGAGGCTTCGCTCGTCTACGGGATGAAAGGGCTTGATATGGGAGTGCTTACTCTCTCGTACTCATTGAAGGGTATGAAGTGACCCAAACTAACCTCAGGTTACGAAGTTAAAGTTTGCCCGGCTCTGGCATAGCAGTCCGAAACGGCATTTAACAGGCAGATATATCGCAAAAACCTTGAAACAAGTACCGAACTTACTGCTTTGCAGGGGCGCAACAAGGGGGGGTCCTCGGGCACCCTCTCGATTGGGTTGGACACCCAGTCAATTCCGGCTCTGGTCTAAACCTCTAGGCCAAGCCGTTCGGTATTTGTCTGCCTGCTACGTGCTGGTAGCGTTTGATGAGAGTGAAATCTGTAGAATTACTATAATAATAACATAACATAATAATGTCCAATTGTCGAACTGAACCATACGTACCTACTAGACACGTTACAGAAANTAGTTATACCTTGTAAGTGGAAACATCTCATCATCATCTTCATAAGGTCGTCAGTCCTAAGACTGGTTGGACACGCACCTCCACTCCTTCCTGTCTTCAGCTAATCTTCCCATTTCCCCAAAACTAGGACATCCCACGTTTTTAAACTATTTACGAACAGAAATCTAATCTAGATCTACCTCTAATCTTCCTAACTCCTGTTTCTGCCTGATATGTCTTTGACTAGACCTTCATGCATGAGAAAGTGTCCTACTAACCTATCTCGCCTGTTTCTTATTGACTTCCATAGAGCCCTCTGTTCTCCTATTCTTTCTAAAACCTATTCATTTCTAACCTTCTCTATCCACGGTATCCTCATCATACGCCTGTAACACCACACTTCGAACGCTTCTAACCTTTTCGTTTCCACTGCGCCCACCGTCCATGTTTCACACCCGTACAGCGTCGCGTTTCAAACATACACCTCTAACAATCTTTTTCGAATTTCTAAATTAACCGCTCGCAAGCATAAAAGTGACTCCTTTTTATTGAAGGCGACTCGACTCTGCGCTTATCCTCTGCTTTATATCCCTACTACTCCTTCCGCCCTGACTTATCTGACTTTGTAAATACCTAAAGTCGGTCACTTCTTCTAATTTTTCGTCTCCACTCTTTCCCTACTTTTTTTCAAACATCTAAGGTTGTAAAAATTTACTTGTATTAATAATCTTATTACGGATTGACAAAAAATGCGTCTGTTGGTTGATCTTATTTTCTGAGAAGTTGTTATGGCGTCGAAAAAGTTTACTTTTTATTAGTCTACAGTTCTCCACGTTCTTGTTAGCGAATCGCTCTCTCCCAGGTTTTACTTCTGAAAGTTATTATTATCTTGTCAATTTGTTCGCAATATACAATCATATCCACTTACAGCCAAGGTTGGAGTTTCACCTGTGCGCCGATGGATAATAATTACTGTTATTTAATGAACAAGATTTCTGATTATAATTAAATGATACCGTAGGCCTTTGATAAATTATCAGCTGTCAGCTGAATTTAAAATTGAATCTGCCATTGTGTTTTATTAATGTGGAATGAATCGCCAGTGTGTTTTATTGATAATAACTTTGAGCATCACGTCAAAATCGTCGAATCGATAATTTTACTTCTTAATTCATTTTAAAAATTACAGAATCGAAACAGCAATAAATAAGGAACTCTGAACTCTTATTTAGCGTTCTCTTTATACTGTTACCTCTCTTTTCAACAAACGAATTAACTAATTACAAAGAAACGTCTTAATCTTAAGGTATCGACTACACACAATTGAGATAAATAAGAATTTTTGAATAACAATGTAAGTCAAGAGTAAGAGAATAAAGAGCACTATGGAAGTCAATAATTTTAAATACTGACATACAAAAATACATAAAAGGAAAATTTCCATCTTCAGGCATCAGGCTCCAACTGAGTATTAATAAAAATGCTTTGAATCCATAAAAACGAGCTTTACGTTTAAAAATGAGGAAAATCTTGTAGGAAATTAAACGTCCAAACCGCTAAACGCGTGGTTATTGGTCTTGCGTTATTTGCACTGTGGGAAAGGCAATCTATTTTTACGTCACCGTTTTCTGTGGCACAAACTGAAAGAAAACTTCCTTTTTGTTTACGTTTTCCACGAACAAGAAGTATAAGTATAATAAAAACGAATCCAAGGAGGTTGTGTGCCGAAGCGCCTTTCGTTCATTTCCATCATAAATGCATGATCGATACAAAATGCACTCGTGCAGGATTCTAGGTCACCGAGTATTGCAGGGCGTTCATTGGAATGCTCTCATCCTATAGGTACTTTAGTAATGGACAATTTATATCCTTTTTTATGAGCCATTCGGGTTGCAGGAGCTACTATAAAATTGTTTAATACGTTACCTTCATTTTTGACCCACGACTGTAACAAAAAAAAAGACAGGATTACTGCATATCGGCTATAGGTAGCAACAAGTACCCTACGTCGGTTTTAATGCATATCTTTTGTTGAAAAATTTCAATTTTAAGAATGTTTAGGGCTTCATGGTTATGAACCATTGTTTAATGGTATTAATTATACCGAAGTCTACATTTCTGTAGGCCCATAGATGTTCCTTTTACACAGTGGGGGAACACCAAGGAAAGGATTTTTTAGAATTCAACCCCTAAATTTTGCAATGATTTTTCGTGTACCAACTAATTTTCACATGACATCTAAATTATGCGACGCTTTAAACAAGGATTTTATTAAAACAGATGGTTTTGTAATTATGCTCGATACGACCCGAAATAAAAATGTTCAGTCTCTCAGAGACTCTGAAAGCGAGACTCGAGTCTCCGTCTCTCATAGAGTCTCTCTGGTGTCGCT